TTATTCCCCATGCTGCGTGCATTGGTGTACAGGCATTTCAGAGAGACAATCAAGCATGCAGGCTTCGCAGGAGAGGTGCAAGAGGATCCTCCAGAGCCATGTCCTGTACGCACTTTCTCGGCTGCATGCACCCGCTGGAGGCATCCTGGCTTGAGCAGTGTTTTATTGACTACCCTCTCTCTATAAGGCTCTCCTTCCTCCATCTCTCCTAGTTTAAAGCCCTCCTTACCAGGCTGGCCAACCTGTTGGCAAAGACACGCGTGCCCCCCTCGGTAAGGTGGATCCCATCTCTCCCCATCAGCTGTCGGTCTTCAGACAGGTTCCCATGCTCATAGAAATCAAAACCCTGTTACCAACAGCAGTGGCAGAACCAGTTGTTAACTTGGAAAATCCATCTCCTCCTCCTCCTCCTCCCGTCCTTTCCCCTCACAGGCAGGATTGAGGAGAAAATGACCTGGGCTCCCAGACCCTTGGCCACCAGCCCTAGAGCTCTGAAATCCTGTTTGATGGTTTCCAGTTTGCCCTTGGTGTCATTAGTGCCTACCTGGAAGAGCAGCAGAGGGAAATAGTGCAATGCATGGACAAGCCTTGGCAGTCTTTCCACGACATCTCTTATTCGAGCCCCCGGCAGGCAGCAAACCTCTCTAGACAAGAGGGCTGGTCGGCAGATAGGTGCCTCCATCCCCTGCAGCAGAGAGTCACCCAGAACAATTACTCACCGCTTCTTCCGGGTGTTCCTGGCACGGCACAGGGTCTGTCAGGCCAGTTGCTTCCCTTGAAGCCATGCCCAGCTCCTCCTCAGCTTGGAGGGCACTAAACCTGTTTCTCAAAGGCAGATCTTCAGGAGGAGCAAGGGCCATGCAATGCCCTTCCTTTTTTTTTGTTTTGAGCTGCGTCACACTGGGTTCCTGCAGATGTGCTAGTGATCTCAGCTTCGCCAGGTGGTAGCTTTTTCCTAATCAGCTTTGCTTGCCTTGTTACTGTGCAGTGCAGAAGCTGGACATTGCTGAACTTGAGGAGAAGAGAAAGGAATCATTGAAATTGCAGCTTTATAGAAAAAGAAAAAATGAAGCACATTGCATGTGCTAAGCAAATTGGAGAGTAGTGTTGCAACATGGTGCCATGCATTACCAACTTTAATAGTTTGTGTGTCGTTAGTTAAAAATCCTTTGAAAATATTTAGAAGTTGCTGGTTGCCACTGTATCCTAACTCCAAACCTAAAGATTTAGCAGTGCTGTGACAGTCCTTTCCGTGCGTGCCTTTTCATAGTCTAAGGTAGTGACTCCTTGAGCACTGGTGCTTTTTAATTTTGTCAAGTCTGTTATGTGGCAGTAACGGGAAGGACGTCTGCTTTCCGAAACAAAGCCATGCATGAGTTTTATTGTTTTTTGCAAGCCTCCGCTTTTGGAAGTCAGATGTGGATTTCTTGGCTGATTTCTTGAACTACACTAACAACGACAATTTTTTTCTCTGCTGTTATTGAGAGTGAAGGTATTCAGGATTACAGGGATTTTTTGATTAACTTAAAATCACTTCCAAAGTGTTGGAATGAGGAAGTGTGAAGAAAAAGTTTGTTCTGTTGCTGAATGTAAGAAATGGTTGTCTTCGTATCTACAGTGCAGAAGAGATGAAATTGAAAGGTTGACTCTTGTCATTTACTCCTTTATGATAAAGGAGAGACTTCACTAGTTCATTTTGGCACTTGGGTCTCCACCGGACACGCTTCTCCTGCTAACACCTAATAACACCTAATAATTTAGCAAGACAAGCTCTTTCCTTGGAGTTCTTACTGTCTGATGGTTTTTTGTCAGCTTTAAACAAGGTTTTTCTTGTGTTTAATTTTTGTTCCTGCTTGTTACAGCACTTCCGATTATGTACACACACAATCAAGAATATAAACTGTTGTTGGCATCATATGGGACATCCTGCAGCAGTGAAAGAATTTCCCTTAGGAAGCTGTCTATTGTATCCTTTTATTTAGTATAAAAAATGGCTTTTCAAATAAATAAAAACAGAATAGAATGCTGAGATGAGAAGAATGCGTTTCCATGCTGAGAACTGGTAATTACTTATTGTGAGGACTAAGAAATCCAGGGAAATAGGGAAACTTAATTGAAGGAAAAGATTTAAGTATGCATGTTCAGTTTGTTCTTCCTAAATATGCATTTGTTCTGTCAGACATGTAGTGTCCGTTTTATATAATGGAATGTGAAGCCTGGGATTATCTCTATAGCTCTAGTAGTCCACTGAGATTTGGTTACTAATATACAGCTACTTCTTTATTGTCAGCTGAGGAAAACACAGGATCCATGGAAAACACAGGTTACTAGCTGTTTGTCCCAGCCTGCTTTCCTAAGGAGAAGGAATAAAGAAAACAGTGCTTGAGAGGAAGATGGGGCAGGCCTAGGAAATGGGCTTGCGGTATAGTAGTACTGTTACATGATTTCTTGTAGTCCACAGTCATGTTACAACAATTACAAGGATAAACTTCAGTTCTTAAAGTCAAAAGACAGGATGTGTTGACTTTTCAGAGAAGTTCTTTTCAAGGAATTTAGTACAAATATTTTAGATGAAAACTAGTATATTTAGTTTTCTCAGGAACTCTAGCTGAAGTAAATTTGGAAGCTAATACACATGATCAGAGAAGAAACTGAATGATTTTTATCTGGTAGTACATGAAAAGCACAAATTAACTGTCACTGATTGTGTATATGAGAGAAAAAAAACCCCAGCTTTGGACTGTGTAATTCAGATTAGTTCCTGGATATTAGTTCTCTTAATTCTTATTATTCAGTGTTTCATTAATCACGAAAGACAGGTAAGAAATAAGACTTACTGCAAGCATTGCTGTGCTACCATATGCGGTTTGCCCATGACTGTCCATTCTCATGTATGTGTCATGCACAGCCCTCGTATGTGAAACTTTAGACTTGAACGATGGCAGATTTATCTTAATATGCATTACATTATGCTATTTATTAACACGGCATTAGATTTTTTTTGGTAAGGAATACCAAATATCTATTAAAAAACAATAGAAAACTTGTAGTCAGCATTGATAATCTCCTTAGATTACTGCTGTTTTAATCATAGTTTTTTTGGTTTTTTGTTTTTTTTTGCTTTTTGACCAGCTTTTGTGTACTGCTTAAGAGATTATTCTACTGTAGTGTATCTGCCAGCACTGTAGGCAGTGTAGAGCAGTTCCCCCCCCCCCCAACTATTGCTTAAGCCAGCTGTAGCTCATCCAGAAAGGAGAGTTTTTCCAGTTCTGTTCTTCTGGAACTCTCCACAGTCTGTTTCCTACCTCCTCCAGTATATTTTGCCTTTCAAAGAAGTGGTGGGACCTGTTGTTTTTGGCTGGGGAGTGTTTTGCTTCCACTTTCTCATTTAGTCTCTAATGCACATGGGAAGAAGCATAAACATATAGAAGTGAGAAAAGAAATGCTCACTCCTTTTTTTATAGACTGCATCTGTGAAGGTAGTATGCACAAATGCCTCAGGCTGTTCAAAAACAACAGCACAGAAATTACTTGGTGCCGAAAAGAATGGAAATGGGTGGCCCCAAGCCAGGTGGCTGTGCTTTTCTTTAGGTCACCCTTGGTAAGGAAAGAAACATCAGGAATGAGAACAGGCCTCCCAAAAGCAAGTTCTGAAGGTTTGAGAATCACTTGTTACAATGGAGCTCTTCTACTGCCTCAGTGAGAGTAGGAGGATTGACTTTAGAGGATTAGGTTAAACTGAACCAAGGCTACTGTACTCCTGAATGCTAACATCCTACATAAAGATTTAGTATGTTTTAAAAGATTTTGAGTGATCCTATCGCAGTGTGTCTTTACATATTGGCAGTTTCATTCTCACAGATTTGCTTCCTACACCAGAGATGTTGCTACAGCGTCCTTTGTTATGGAGATGGAGAACATCTGGGCTTTGCAAGAAGTGCCCAGAATCCCAAACGTGGAGGAAGGAAACAGAGTGATCAGCTTGAGAGTGAGTGCTGAGATTTGAAAGATGATGTCTCGTCTTCAGTTACGTGCCAAAACGTTTAGTTTGTAGTATTTAATTAACTGCAAGAATACTGGAACACAGATTGTTTGTTTTCTTGGTAGCCAAAAAAATGTAATACACTATAAAGAGCTCAGGTGAAAATTATAGGAAAGGAAGCTGTCTCTTTGCACTTGTTCCACTGAACACTGTTGAAGCAGGATTTTGGGAGTGCAGAGAGCTATATCAGGACCACTGGTGTCAATTTCTCTGGCAATGAGCTGGTGAGACTATAATTTTTGTTTGATGCTGCGGGTTGAAGAGCAACGTTAGAACTGATTGTGGAAAATGATTTGCTGTGTATTGGACCTGTTGTACGACAAAGCCACAGCAAAGACGTCCTGTTAAATGTTCAGATACGTTGCGATTTTGATAGGCTGAAGAAGCTGGCCTACATAATATACAAATCTGCATAGTTTTAAATGTGTTTGTTTTAATTATAGCAATTTTATTTTGTGCCTTTTTTATAATGCAGTTCTTTCTCTGGGGTTTCGTATTAATTTGTAATATATTATTGCCTGAAGGATTGCACAAAAATGGAGTCAGAAACCTACTGATCCAAAAAAAAAAATAGTCTCAACAAAGAAGACAGGTGAAGAGTAGGAAGAATAGAATATAATACAGAAATCTCTGTTAACTTCTGGCTATTTATTTGTTGCCTACTTTGATTTTTGTGAAGTTGATTTCCAAAAATACTAGCTAAACTGAAGAACGAAGGAAGAGGGGTGGGAAGCAAACTAGACAGAGGTCAGGAGGACAAAGTATGAGAGATAGGTAGGGCTGGGGAGGAATAGAGGATAGATGAAGAGAAAGGGAATCTGAGAGAGTGTGAAGGTGGGGGGAGAAAGTGGTCTCAGGGACAGCACTCCATCAGTTGCTCAGTGTTATTTACTTTCTTTTTCTCCTTTGCATTTGGAGGAACAAATGTTTCTCCTCAAATCATATTACTGCATGGCAGACCCTTGCTAGCAGTAGTTTGACTGACTTGTTTTCATTTTACATGTAGTGATAAAAGCAAGCTGCTTTTCTTAGCATTGAAAGAGGTTTTTGTTGGCATCTCTCTAGGTTCCTGTGTCACACTTGTATCCAGATTTCTGCTCTGGGGACTTCTGAACCAAAGAACTTTTGAAGGGTTACTTTTGAATGACAAGACATTAATCAACAGCAGTATTAGCTATTTTATACACTATAACTGAGCCTTCTCATTCAATGCTAGTCTTTAATGATAAAAAATTATGTAACCCTAGCATGTGTGTGACATCTTTTTTTTTTAATGATTATTTGCCCTATTTTGCATCTCTCCTTATACTTTGTAGTCACGAAAGGTATAGCATGCTTCAGGTGGAAACTTACTTCCTGTCATTTGATTTGACAGTATCTGCAGGAATAAGAAAGTCTGGGGTGAGGGCTAGGTGAACTATAAATTTTCATATTGCCCTACCTCCCATTTAGCATGGTGTTTCTCGGTGAAAGATGAATTTTCAGACTTCCACTTTCTTAAAATATTTACAGACACGTCAGTCTATATCCTGTCCATCACTGGAGAGACTGAATTCCTTTTGAAGTGAGTAGGAGACAGCCACGTATGTCAAAGGCAGGATGTGGCCTTTTACAGAGTGAGTTTGCTGTGAAGGGACACGCACATCCTGGGGTTTGTTACACAACATCATCTCCATGCCTAGGCACACTTTGTGGCCCTTCATAGTTTAAAACAAATGTGTGTGTACTGGCTTCCAGAAGAGTGTTTCCTGAGAATTTTAATGCAATTCTAAATTTGCTCATAGAGTAGGTACATTTTTAAGGAGGTAACAGCAAATCTGATATCTTTCTGTAATGTCTGAATATACCTTTCTGGATTTTGCAGGCATGTGTTATTTGTAAATGGGCATGTCTCTGAGTTCATTACATTCATGTGGTAAGGTTATTTCTGCTGAAGTCACCTGCAATACGCTCAGGAACTGTAGCCAAAGCAGTAAGGTATTTGGCAACAAGAACTGAGGAAACGTTCTGGAAAGTCTGTGTTCGATTTGTGTGTATGTTGCAAGCAGTTTAAAATCAGTGGTTGCAACATATGAATGTTGTCTGAAACAGCTACTGCTGCTATCCCTGATGGAGGAGCTTTGCCTGTATAAATGTGTGTCTATACAGAGTTGGTTTTCTATTTTACAGCATTGAGCAAGGCTTCAGCCTGTTACTGATGCTATCTAGTACTGACATTTCACTGTTCGCTAGCAGCAGCTTTCATTGTTTTATGAATTGAACTGGAAAAGGCACTTGAACTAAAATGGTAAGCTTTTAAAGTAAGGTGGTGGTCTAAAACAGGACACTTGCATGATTTCTTAGATGCAGGGAAGGACTCGGGAGTGGCAAATAATCAATCATTCCCTTTCCCAGTTGTCTCACAGTAAGTGACAAGGTAGGGCTACAGACAGGGCTATTTACGTGGTCATCTCTGCTTGAGCTGTGGTGCCTTTTTGGTGCAGATGCAGCGCAAGTTTACCAAGGATATCTGTTCCATAACCAAAGCTGCTAAAAGCTGGGTTAGGACATGTCCACTAATGGAGATGGCTTGTGCATCTACTGAGAGCCTGAGTTGCTGAGTTGGCTGGAGTTTGAAGTGGGCAGCCTGTATTCTATAGGAAAGATGTATTCCATGGCAGTGAATTAGGAATAGAATGAGACTACTGTATGAGTTCTCTAAAGCACTAACCTCTCATGAACGTTGATTACTAAAATGAATGTATCATTCCTGAGTGAGGTATTCGTTATGGTTTAAAAACCCGAGAATCAGCTAAAGTAGTGAATTTGGATCGAAATGGAGTCATTAAGTTTGGGAGGACAAGTAAGGAAACAGGCAGGTTGCTCTAGCTTGCTTACTAAAAAGAGGAGCTTAGCTGAAGGGAGTATTTAGAACTTTTCATTACTATGCAAATCCATGAGGACTAGTGTAAGTTGTGTGCTTACAGCCCTTTTATGATAGCATTTTTCAGAGGATTAATTCAGCTGACTTTAATGAATTACTACGGAGTGACACTGATGCAGGAGAAAAAAACTGAGCTGGAAGTTTCTCAAGTATGTCCTTATAGGATAAGAAGCTTTACACATTTGTCACACTGAAAAGTGTCAGCCATTACAGTTTCAGACTCAGCATTCTATTCATTGGATATGTAACTTTCACAGTTGCAGAAATGTTCTGGAGTTTGCTTTCAGTCCTCTGTCATTAGAAGAGGTTTTTTTTAAATAGTATCTTTAATTCTGTGTAAATGAGTTGTACGCTTTGTGTAGAATCTCCTTATGTACATGTATAGCTTAGTTTGATTTGTTATAGGAAATGCTGAACACAAACAATTTTACTGCTATGAAAATATTATCCAAGGAAGCATGATTAAATGTATTTTTCAACACAATCAAAATACATTTGCATTTCAGGAATGTAATTTTGAGAAGCTGAGCTAATGTCTTAATCGTATACTAGATGACAAGTTTTTCCTGAAAAGTTCTTCTATTTCCCGTTTCAAACCGGTCTAGTGGTACTGTCAGTTTTATAGCATATCTACACACACAACACGTACACATGCAAACATACATGCAATATAGAAAGTTTTTTTCCTTGTAAATCCGTGTATAGTGCGAAAGAACCGTCTACCAATATGAATGAGTACACAAATTTCACAGACCGTTTTATTTTTCTTTCATTAGAACGCAGCTGCTTCTATTTGCTGCTAGATGCAAACACGCTCATGTCGATAATTACATATTGTCCCCTGTGATCTCTGTTTCTATTTATTTAATAAAGTTAAGAAAATTAATATTTTTAGCATCGACATTGTTCTCCACTATCAGCTTCATGTTATATTGTAGTATCTTTTGCATGTTAAGCTTATGAATTGTGTTACAAAGCCTTGTATTTCATCAGTGAAGACTTGCAGAATTGCAACCAGAGAATGTAAGGTTTGACTCTAGATACTAAGTTTGCTCAAGTGTGTGTGTGTTATGTATGTGTTTTGTTTGTTTGTTTTGTGTTTTTTTGGTTTTGGGGTTTTTTTTGGAAGGTGTTCAGAATGACTTAATGTAATGGAATCAAGTCTAACTTGATCCTTGAATGTGTTTTAATTGTGTTGAAAAATATTTAATCATACTTCTGTGCGTTTTTATAGCACAGAAGACCAGAGCGATCTGTGGAACTTCTGTTGTGGAGTTCTTTATCTAATTGTTCCTCTCAAAAATATTATTTATGTATTTAGGCTTTTTTGTACTGTGGTTCATTTGCAGACACATTGCCACCTCCAAATTTATACTTGGTAGCAGAAAGAAACATTGAAATAATGTGGTTGTGTAGGTGTCAAATCAGTGGCCAGTGCAGGAGCAGGGATTCAGTGAAATACGTATGACCTTAGAGATAATTTAAAAAATGTATCTTTTTTTCTTTACAGAGCTTTTGATGGTGATTATTGAATATGTTTTGAGCTTCTCCTTATGCTAATTTAACTTTGGAAACTGCAAAACTCTTAATCATGTTCCATGTCATCAGCAGAAGGAAAGTTACCAATATGTGCTTTTAATATGTAGGATTGTAGAATGAATGAGAGCTGTTTCCCTGGTAACAGCTTTGGAAACTGGTTTTGAATCCTAGAGAAAATGGATGGAGTGTCTTGAAGGAACGGCTGATTTTCTTTTTCTTTCCAAATGTATATCTTTTTATTTTTATGTATGTATTTCTTATTTATTTGTTTGTATTGCTAATGAAAAAGAGGCACATAACACTTAAAAATATTGCTTGGCACACGTCTTTGGAATGTAAATAGGTGGTAACTGAAGAAGAGAAGCGAAAAAAAATTTCACTTTTCAGTTATGTATCTGTTGGAAAACAAGAGCTAACTGTGTATGAGTCTGACAGATGAAATGTGCTTTGGCTTTTTCCCAGGCTGTTAAAAACGCTGTCTTGT